CGAAGGATCCCGAGGGGTGCTCGGGATTGACTCGAGATATCAGTTGAAAAAACTGAATCTCGAGTCTCGTCTTTTCTGACTTGGCGAACTCGAAATTTCTCGAGAAAGTCACGCCGCATTGCGGAATGATTTTGCCGCTGGTGCAATTTGGTTGCTCGCGTGATCAAACGGTTAAATCCGTTTTACAGCTGTAAACTCGCATGAACTTCGTGTGAGGCTTATGGAAGCCACATGGGAACCACATGAAGCCACAAATGTTCATGGGAGGAGTCAGCAAGGAATTGCCTCATGTTACAAGAGGATAAAAAAGGCAACAACCCAAGAAGTTGTGCAACCGTTTTCAAGTACAGCGTGGCAAGATCAATGACTTCGCCTTCCAACTGTTTTATGCTTTCCTTTGCTTGTGTGTTAGACGAAATATAAAATGCTTGCTTGTGCTTGCATGTAATCAACCTTTCTAGTGGAAGTCATTTTTGAATTTCTCTGACGAGTTAACGTGCTCTATCATCGTATTGACGTGAAGAGCTATTTCTGCACACGAGCCCATTTCGTCGTCAACGCCGCGCAACAGAGTTTGGGAACGCTGTAGAACGCACGGTAATTTTCGCACTTACGGAATTCCCTCTTCAAACACGGACCCTTGGATAGGGGCTGGTTTTGCCAGGCACCCAAGGACCCTTGGAGGTGACCCCGTGGGGACTACCTAGTGTGAGTTAAAGGTGTGTTTAGAGCCTCTAGGTCCCAACAACTTTTACGCGAGAGAAATTGGTATTTTCATATGGAGTTTCCCCGTTCGACAGGGAAATATCTGCTCGACTGGAAGTTTTGCAGTACTTATTCAAAAAACATGTGGAAAATCGTGCGCGAATATGTAATCCGGCCTGTCGAGCAGACGTAAAACCTAACAACACTTAAAACATAGGTGGTTTTTGTTTTTGTTCTCGACAGAGTTCAAACACGGAGAACCGGAACTCTTAGCAGCATCATGAAGTCATGCTGGTCGTGTTGAAACATAACACCCTTGTCGAGGAACAAAATCGACTTTCCGTCGAAGATGATAAAATTTGTAGCAATATGTTTAAGTCTCGTCGAGGACGAGAGAACCCTTTCAATGACAACTCCAGCTCCGTCGAAGACGGGAAAACCACGGAAACATAGAAGCTCCGTCGAAAGTTAAGCCTCGTCGACGGAAAGAGGGAGGTGAAATACCCTTTTCCGTCGAGAAAATTTCAATGTAAAGTGAATGCTACGTTATGAAATTGACAAAGTGGGTGAGATTTAGAAAATTATACGATGTTTGGTTCGTTTCCCGACCATATTTTTGTCGACAGCGCACGTATCTGCGCGTCGATTGGTCGTCGCTCGTCGAGTGCATTTCGATAAAAGTACCTCAATTTCCACTATGACGGCTGACATATATATGGTCGTAAGAATACGACATTGACTTCGCGGGATTCCGCGGGTTTTTTTGCCTGATCAGGATGGATTTTCTGACTGACCCGCGGGATTCCGCGGGTTTTTCGGTTTGGCCCGAATTCCCACTCTTGTCCTTCGATGGGTTGATTGCTGCCCAGGGCTCTCCTTTGCAGGGTGTTTTACCCTGTTTGTCCTGCCTAACAGGGTGGTTTCTCGGCGCTACCCTGCCAGGACTGGGTCCCCCAAGGACGTCACCCGGCCACAATCCGAGTGCCTTTTTATTTTAGACGGCTAAAGCAGGCTTGCCATAGTTATAACTCTGCACGTGAAAAGTTCCTTAGCGAAGCACCCGGCCACTCTGTGTACGTGTTTCTATGATTTTTACTTAGCCACTGATAGTTTTCCTTAGCCAAAAAAAAACGAATGTCCCATGTTCCTATTGGGCCATTCCGCCGAACACCAACTGTGTTGTGAAAAACAATCTAAGTACTGAGGCTCGCAGAGACATCTGTAGAGCGGTGCTGATCCTATTGGGCTGTTTGGCGAACTCCATCTGTGTTGTAACAAGAAATGTCTAAGTGCTGAGACTCGTAGAGACAGCTGTAGAGCGTGCCGTGCCAGTCACAACACTTGTGGCAAAACAGGGTCCTCGGAAATATCACCCTGCCACAAATTAGGTGTGGCAGAAAACACCCTGCCACTACCCTGATTTTGCCGCACGCCACCCGGCCTTGGCCGGGTGGCGGGCGGCGGGAACCCTTTTTTGGAAGAGTGCCCTAAAACGAAAAGAGAGCCCTGTTGCTGCCTGTTCAGTTCAATGGAAATTTGTCGCATCGTCGCACTGCAGGCTCACGACAATTTTGCAGGGGTAAAATAGATTTCGTTTACCATGTTCGCTGAAGCTCGCAAACTCCCGAGGCGGAAGACCCGAAGCTCGAGTCGGAAAACCCGTGGTTCGAGAATTTAATTCGGGATGACCCGAAGACTGGATGACCCGAAGCCAGGAATACGCCCTTAGACAGGGAACTGGATATCACACCAGCACACCCTTCCTCACGCGACCTATCCTGAAGTGGCCCAGTCAAGTAGAATGGGACTTCCGAAGGATGAGGTTGCGGGATCAAACCCCAGTGCCGGCGAGTTCCGCCAGCCCCCCATAAGGGGTTTTCGCACTGCTCATCTGGGAGTGGATATTCCTTACCTCGATACCCAGCGAGGCGTGTAAACAAGTGGGTAGGCGGATTACGATCGACAGCCGGGGGCAGGCCTGTCGTTTCGTTTTGGCCCCCCCGGACAAATCAGGGGGCCCGGCATGTATGACCCTGTATTTAGCAGAGTTGGGGGGGATCTCGGCCCTTTAGGCTTCAGGGCTGGAAAAAATTCCTCCCTTGAATCAGGTTTGGCGCGGAAAATTCTGGAGCCTCATTTCAACTACCAAGCTAACAACTACGTCTGAGATGAACCGCAACAAGCAAAGACGACATAAAGAGAATTAGTTAGCGTCACGCACGCTTTGCAGGCTTCCTAGCCTTTGCAGAACTTATGAGCTTGTGCACTTCTACCCACTCCATAGGATAGTTCTTGTGCCTTTCTACCCAACCTTAACCTACCCACTCCACAGAGAGCGAGCTGTGATTGGCTCAAGCACAAGTTCTAGGTTGAGTTGAATTTGTGGCCCAACCACGCAACTCGAAATTTGCCAGGTTGGATGCAATCAGGTTAGAAACGAAGGGGAGAGGAGAGTGGAGGAGTGTTGGGAGGGCGGAAGGGGGGGGATGGGGGGCTCCAAAGATTTTATTCCAAGGCTCGCCTAAAATCTACCCTTTATACACCAGGCCTAAGCCCGAAATCAGCCCTGTAAAGGATCAGGGCCAGAATATTTCCAACCCATCAATTTCAGCTTTAAGGGCAACCCAGCCCTGGAATTCAAGGTCCAGCAGGGCAAACGCCCTGCAAGCGACAGCCCTGGCCGGGGGTAACCCAAAGGGGGTTCTCCCCCCTCCTTTACCTTTACCTTCCTCACGCGACCTATGGCCGTCCAGGGTGGCATTCGTCCACGACAGCAATTGTCAATGGGCTACGCATGTTTCCTTCTTGAGAGTGGCTCTGATATGATGAAACCCTCAATCTGCTCCAACTGCATAGTACGTCGTTTGAGATTGCGCTTCGTTTCGAGATGTAAAACACGCATTTACTCGCCGCGGGTAGCCATCAATGATAGCGATTGCACGGCTCCGTGGTCTTCGGTGGCTAGTAGTAGTAGTAGGGGTGCAGGCAATAGTAGTAACCCCAACCTAAGATACTGCCTCTGCTGCCGGGTGCGACAATGAGAGTTTCTCGAGAGTTAGCGGCGGTGGCGGTGTGGATGGGGCTTGCGGGCGTGCTGGCGGGGCTGGTGGCGTGGAGGTGCAGAAGGGCTTCGACGACAATCGCAAGGCGGAGCTCGACACCTGGTGCGCCGGTCGCGCGCGCTCGCTGCAGCAGCAGTTCATGCTCACCGCCGACCACGTGCAGGTAGACGCGCCGACACGTGCAGGTGGACGCGCCGACACGTGCAGGTGGACGCGCCGACACGCGCGGGTACCACGCGCCGACACGAGCAGGTAGACGCGCCGACACGTGCAGGTAGACGCGCCGACACGTGCAGGTAGACGCGCCGACACGTGCAGGTAGACGCGCCGACACGTAAGACGCGCCGACACGTGCAGGTAGACGCGCCGACACATGGAGGTAGACGCGCCGACACGTGCGCTAGTATCATCAGCAGAGAGTCAGGCGACGCCACAACGTGCAGGTTAGGAATCAAAATTGTCGTGTTAATCCGAGGTCCACAGCTTTCAAAGGTAGGAAGGTTGGTTGGGGCAGGAGAAGGGATTGGTCCGGGAAACAGGGGGGCGTCGAAAAAGCTTGACGTAGGTCGCGGAATGGAATACTCTCGCCAGAGTTACCAAATATGGGATGTCAACTCTGGATAATTTTCGCGATACTCAGAATTTGTAGATTTCCACATCTCAGAGTTCTGCAGATGGTTCAAAAACGATTATCTCCTTGTAGGCGATACGAGTTCTGTAGCTTTAATAAGAACCGTATGGATTAGATTTCGCATTCAGGTTGCGCGTTCCGGATGGCGACAGCGTGCACGTAGAGCGGACGCAGTTGCTGGTTAGTAGAAGAAATGCCGTGAATCGGTGTGACAGCACAACAGCCGACCACGCGGCAGCAACATATCACAGCCCACGGGTTTTTACTTGGCATGTACCGGCAAGGGCTCCCAGAATTAGGGTGCTTTGTGGGGCGGCGGTGCGAGGAGCTTGAAGTCGTGAAAAGGGGTGATTTTGCAGCGGGATGACGCCCATGGTGTGTCACACGTGGCACGTGCGTGGATGACTCGTGGGGCATAGCTTCATGCATTGCACGCATCATTTTGTCGTCAGTAGTTGCAGCCTGCAGCAACAGCTGTACCACATGCATTTGCAGGAGATGCATTCACTTCACTGCACATGCATTCACAGCACCACGTAACGTACATATACCCATGTTGCCCATCGCTGCACGCTCCAACCAACCCCTCACCTCATGCACGGATGGCACTGGAAGCGCGAGCCAGTAGTGCCGCCACTAGTGAAGCGCCACGCCCGTCTTCCCCTCACTTTCCTCCCCCACCCGTCTCCCCTCAGCTCTTTCCCCACCAATCTCCCTTCACCCATCTTTCCCCCACCTATCTTCCCCACCCGTCTCACTTCACCCTCTTCCCCCCACCTATCACCCCCAACCCACCCGTCTCACTTCACCCATCTTCCCCCCACCTATCTCCCCCACCCGTCTCCCTTCACCCATCTTCCCCCCACCTATCTCCCCCACCCGTCTCCTCCCCCTCCCCCCCTCTCCTTTTTTCTTTCTATTATCACCCCCAGGTCATTTTCTCCCCTCCCCACTTATCTTCCCCCACAGTTTTCCTCCCACCTATTCCCCCCAACCCTACGCACCCATCTTCACCCATCTCTCCCGCGTGCACGCATCAGGCGCTGGCAGGGCTGGTGACAGTGTTAGGGGGAGTGCGGGATAACCCGCGGGGCGTGGGGGAGTGCATGAGCCAGCAGCGGTACGTGCAGTTCACACACGCCACTGTCGCCGCGCGGCCATGGGTGCATGCTGTCATCTACCTCCTCCTCCTCAACCACACCGACAGGTTTGTGCTACCCTGCTCCCTCCTCCATTTTTCAGCCTCGCTTCTTTGAGATTCGCACATCTCTCTGTATCCCCCTCTCGTCATACATTCACCCATTTTCCTCCCAACACACGCACACCTTAAACCCATTCTGCTGGTCAGTGTGAGCTTGAACCCTATCAAAGCCAAGCATCCATGTCATCTGCACGTGCTGCTGTCCTTGTGTGCTGTCCTTATGTGCTGTCTTGTGTGCTGTCTTGTGTGCTGTCTTGTGTGCCGTCTTGTGTGCCGCCCTTGATTGCCGCCCTTGCATGCCGCCCTTGTGTGCGGTGTGGTGCTGCAGGGCGGAGTACGAGCGGCAGATGCGGTGCGGAGTGGTGGACTTCATGGAGCGCCCGCGCCCCCCAGCGGAGTGGTACATGCCCATGCGCTACTGGTTCAGTGACACCGCGCTGCTCGCCACCACGCCCTGCAAGGACATGCGCACCAACCCCTCCTTCGGCCCGCAGCTGGGCGGCATGGTGGAGCGCGCGGAGAGCTGGCTCACCACGCCCTACGTGCTCGACAATGGCAACGCTGGCATCGCTGCGTTCCGTGCCTGCCTGCCACTCGCATGGGTGTGTTGGGTGGGGCAATGGGGGCAACAGCATGTGTGGGTGGTGTTACGATAAGAATGAATTGATAGAAAATGTGAAGTACAACCCTAGATATAGCAAACTCTAATCATGCAAGTAAGTAGAAATGTAACACCTAGACTAACCTAAACAACACATATGAAATATATGTTGACACACCCCCATAGTCTAGGTGACGGAAGTCCTGTAGAAACAACAAGAGCAAGCAACGGTCACAAGACCAGTCTACAAGAACAAGACAAATCTCAGGGTGGAGCTCAAAGTCACCACACACTCCGAGAGCAAGCAAGGGGCCACAAGGCCAGTCCACATGCAGGTATATAGCAAATATAAAGAGATGCAAGAGTACAAGACATGCAGGACAAAGCATCTCTAAGCAAGCAAGTGAGGACGGGTAGGCACAAGGCCAAGCTGGGTGCAGAAACGCTGGTGGTCACAAGGCGGCAACGCCTTGGTGAAGATATCTGCCGTGTTGGCCTCAGAGACCACACGTCGAACGAGTGCCTGTCCACGCTGCTGCAACTCACGCAGAAGGAAGTAACGAAGCTGGATGTGCTTCGCCTTCCCAACCAGTCGGGGCTCCTCACACAACAGGACAGCAGACCTGTTGTCGGCGAACAAGACTGGGGGAGAGCGAGGCCGCTCACCAAGGTCGGTGAGAAGGAAAGACAGCCAGCGAAGCTCCTGAGCGGCCATGGCCGCAGCGTACACCTCTGCCTCACAGCTGGAACCGGCGACGGACGACGCCCGAGTCGACCGCCACGAAACAACACCTGCCCCGAGGCTAAAGGAGTACCCTTGTGTAGACCGACGCGTCTCCACGTCGTCGGCCCACGACGAGTCCGAGTAACCTGTGAGTGTAACTGGCTGCTTCCCTCCAAGGACAAGTCCCATGCCTGATGTACTCGCCACATACTTCGCCACCCTCTTAGCAGCGTACCAGTGGGAAGGTCGGTGTCTCCCAGGCGCAACAAAGCACGCAAGGACGCTAAGAGGGTAAGCTAGGTCTGGGCGAGTACAGGTCATCAGGTACATGAGACAACCCACCAGCTCAGGATATGGACCACTGGACTCAAATGACTCGTCCGAAGGTGGAGCCGTGAGCCCATGATCCACACCAAGAGGGGTGAGCTGTACCTTGGAGAACGGGAAGCGAAACCGCGTGAGGATCTGCTCGACCATATGCGACTGAGTCAGCGTAATGGTGCGAGCTGCCCTGTCCCTGGTGATCTGCAGGCCAAGGTAGTGCTGCAGCTCACCAAGGTCAGTGCAAGTGTGTCTCCTCTGTAGTTCCTCCTTCACGGAGGCCAGCGCGCGTCGGTCGGGAGTGGCGAACACTAGGTCGTCGACGTAGACCAGGACAAAGAACGGGGTCGAGCCACGGCGAACGAACAGTGACGGGTCAGCAGACGACGGAAAGAAGTCAAGAGCTGCAAGGGTCGAGCGAAGTGTGTCGTGCCACTCACGTGAGGCCTGACGCAGGCCGTAGACTGGTCGACGCAGCTGCCACTGGGTCCCAGGTGGGAAAGAGCCAGTGAAGCCAGGCGGGCGACGCAGCCAGATCTGCTCGTGCAGGCTCCCCTGAAGGAACGCGGTGGAAAAGTCCAAGGAGTGCAACTCGTAGTCGCGCTGGGCTGCAATATGCAGCAACACCCGAAGAGTACTCATCTTCGGGGTGGGAGCGAAGGTCTGGAAGAAGTCCACCCCCTCTCGCTGACTGAAGCCTCTCGCAACATAGCGCGCCTTGAACACAGGTGGTGATCCAGGCGGCCGCTTCACCTTGTAGAGCCATCGGCCACTGATGACATTCGTCCCAGGTGGTGGGACTGCGTCGACGTAAGTGCCTGTGGACCTATAAGATGCCATCTCTGCCTCCTCAGCTGCTATCCAGTACGAAGCCCAGGGTCCCGAGACCGCCTCGGCGTGAGTGCGAGGGATCGGGATGTCAAGGGCGTCTGGATCCCCCTCAGGGGCAAGCAGCATGGCGCAGAGATGAGGAACAGCGGCCGCAAGGAAACCAAGCTCGAACTGCCTGTCCTCTAGGACCTCCAGGGGAAAGACAGGAGCACCCCCAGAGGACGGAGAACGTGCAGGGCCACTCACCAAGTGAGCGGCGTAGTCAAGGCGGTGGGAAGAGGCAAAGCCAGAGACAGTGGTAACAAGTGCTGAGACAGACGACAGAGGTGCAGTCGGGTGAGTGACCAACGCGGACAAAACACGGGAGACGACAGGACGGGAGGCGACAGGACGGGAGGCACGGAGGTAGTCGGACCAGCAACCTGCCAAACAATCTCTTCAACTACCGCCTTGACTCCTTCTTCACCAACATGCGAGCCCTGCCACTGCTGGCCGACATGTGAGTGCAAGAGGGGCAAGGGGTGAGCGTGACACCATGGTCGTGGCGTCCTGTAGCTTTGCTCCCACTCGCGATCTCCCTCTCTCTTCACTCGCGATCTTCTCTATTTGCGGGGGCGCCTCAAAGGTCATGTCTGCACATCTTGCCCTTGCACATGCCACCACATCATGCACTCATCTCATCGTTGCCCTCGTTGCCTGTGCTGCTATCACAGCCGCCTGCACTACAACTAATTCTATGGGGAGGTCCCCTCCTTCCTTGTGGGCCGCCCAAAGCTCGCTCTGCTGCAAGTCCTCTGGGAAGGCCTTCTATAACTCTTTGTGCTGCTTTCATCTTCCATGCCCCCGCATCCTCCTTTCTCGCACTTCCATCTGATCTGCCCATGCCGTGCTAATGACCGTGCCCACCCTGCTCTGCCTCTAATGACCGTGCGCGCCGCTTTCCACCTTGTATGCCGCTTCCATCTCCTGCCCACACTGTCAAGGAGGATCTATCAAGGAGATTTTGGATGGATAGGTTTTGGATAGGGTTGGATAGGTTGGGGATTAAAAGTCTACACCCAACCCAACCAAACTGGACCTACTAATAAGTTGTAAACCATAAATAAGGCTAACAAAGTGCAGCCTATTTCCAACACACGCCACTATTGACCATGCCCCGCCCGCCCTACTCCCCCCCGTGGACCACCTGTGGCATGGTGGTCAACTACCTGGTGGGGTCGGTGCCGGCGCTGGCCACTCAGCTGCGCACATTGGACGTGGGTTACAACTTCCTCACGGACGTCCCAGCAGTCACCTACACCTTCTGTGGCGGCGTCAGCAACTGCCTGCTCACGCCCTCCAAGTGCCCCAACTCTGGCGCCGGAACCAGTCAGAAGCCCGCGGCGAGCTGTGCCTTCTGCGGCACCAGCAACGGCATCAGCCCCTTCTGTTGGGGGGCGGGTGGAGTGTGCACGGCGAACGCAGCTGCTGCCGTTGCAGCCGGCACTGTCAATGCCCTGGCACTGCCCCTGCTGCCCTTGACCTGCGTGGGCGGGCCGGCATTGGTGACTATTAACAGTGCGGATGGTGAGTGCTTTGTATCCTCGTGCCCCTCCTTAACGTTGGCTCTTTAGTAGCTGCCTTTCATTGCTCTACCTTGTTCCGGTTGTCTGCCACCCCACACCCGCGTGCACTCCCGTTCGCCACCCCACCCCATGCAGCTGCTGCAATGCTGAACATCAAGGGCGTGCTGGGTACGACCTACACCACGTGGAGCACCACATCACCGTGCCGCCTGGAAAACTCGACCGTGGCCTTTGCGGGCGAGTGGACGGGCGTCTTCTGCACGGCTGCCAGGAAAGTTTTGGCCATGTGAGTGCATGCTTGCAAGCAAGGTGTCGGTCAGCGTGTTTCGTTAGCATCATCCCGCTTCAAGCAGCACACATGCATCCTCTTTCACCTCTACCTCTTCAATGTTCGACCTGTCATACATCTTCCGACCAATTCGTCTGCCCGCCCGGCGTTGCGTGTGTTCTCCAAAACACTCTTCCACAAACGCATCAGGTCCTTCCCTGGCACACAGCTCAAGGGCTCATTCCATGCTGACATCTCCACTCTCACGGCTCTTACCTTCCTGTGAGTTGCGTCTCCTTGGCCGTTTCATTTGCTTTATGATCCCAACCCAAATGCTTCTGCTTGCCCATGGGCTTCTGCTTACCCAGTGAGGCCATGATGCATGTGGTTGAGGTTCACGCACAATGACCTGAAAACCGACTGTTTCACCCTCTGCCCGCCCCTACCAGCAACCTGCCCAACAATCTCTTCAACTACCGCCTTGACTCCTTCTTCACCAACATGCGAGCCCTGCCACTGCTGGCCGACATGTGAGTGCAAGAGGGGCAAGGGGTGAGCGTGACACCGTGGTCGTGGCGTCCTGTAGCTTTTCTTCCACTCCCCATCTTCCGGCAGCCGTCTCTATTCAAGCCCGCTCAAGCTTCTATATTTGCGGGGGCGCCTCAAAGGTCATGTCTGCACGTCCTTGCCCCTTGCACATGCCACCACGTCATGCACTCATCTCATCGCTGCCCTCGTTGCCTGTGCTGCTGTCACAGCCGCCTGCACTACAACTACTTCTACGGGGAGGTCCCCTCCTTCCTTGTGGGCCTCCCACAGCTCACTCTGCTGTAAGTCATCTGGGAAGGCTTTCTATAACGCTACATGTGTTGCTCTACTCTGTGCTCCTTCTACCTTATATGCTTCCGCCTTCTCCTTCCTCACTCTCCATCCGGCCTTATACGCCTGTTGAGGCTGTAGTGGCCTAGCTTCAAGCGTCTTGATGGGAGTGTGTGCACGCTTGACATGACACTAGAGGCTGCGTCAGCCCGGAAAGTGCCTTTTTTATTTTCTAGATGCTGGACGCTGGAAAGGTAACTTTTGGGTCAGCCCGGAAGGTGCCCGTTTTCTTTTCTAGATCTTCTCGAACAGTGGAGCACCTAACAACCCTACTCTAGGCACCCAGTACTGGGCCAGTATGCAGGGGCTAGGGGGCGGAGATGGGGTTCGTGGGAACATCCCTGAACCCCCAGCCTCGAAGGGGTACAAGGGTGGGAGTAGGAAGAGGAGGAAGAGGAGGAAGAGAAGGAAGAGGAGGAAGAGGAGGAAGAGGAGGAAGAGGAGGAAGAGGAGGAAGAGGAGGAAGA